TTACAATATTGATAGAGTGTGACAGTTTAATATTACTATAGCTGTGAATGAATAAAACTGATAATGTATTATTTCACTTTTGGTTGACACTTGAATGATCGATGTACACTTGGATAATCTCATTGAATAAAATCAACTCGTTGTCATGAAATGTTCTCTATTATTCTTAATCAAAACTATATTGATCTTTGAACTGCTTTTATTCTTTTCTGAACCTAGAAATCTTTTACTATAAAGCAATCAAAAAATAACATTTGTACTATCAAATGTTTCAATTTATGTGTTTCAAATCTTATTGATATCATTTAAGTGCAAAGCAATCAAGGTTTTGTGATGGAAAGTCTGAGGTTGATAAAATTAGAATTATTAGACCAATCTCATAAGATTTCACAGGATATTAAAGATCCTCAAGCATAATTAGGTCATCTGTTCAAGCCTGCAATCACCTTTTTTTTTTTATCTAAAAATGTATTTCTAATGACCAGGAAAAATCAAACTATAAACTCAAATTTCCTGCAAAAGCAAATAAACTATCAAGTCTTGGATTGTTATATTAGAGAACATATTACTTGTAACAGAGGAAACGTTAAAAGAGAGAGAAAGCGATATTGAGAAATGGAGTTTCATGTCCACTCAGCAGAAACTAAGTCATATCAGGACTAACTCATGCTTCAATTGTATTTCAAAGATTCGCTTTGAGGTTTTTAGCAGTGGGAGGAAACCTGGGGAACCAGAGAAAGTGTACAGGTGACTCTATTCCTTACCACCTTGCAAATGCATTAGACCACCCGACCATCCAAGCCCTCCACATGGGAGTGGACGCAAAATCAAATATCTTTATACATAAACATACTGTTATGCAGTGATGGGATTTCAAAATTTTTCTTGTCGTACATTTTACCGAAAGTAAAGGGGCCTAACTCTTATCGTTATTTAAGCAGAAGAATTCATACCATATATTCAAATCCGTGCGTAATAGAAATAGGAACACCTCACTATTTTTCACATTTAATTCCTGTATGGTAATGGTATTCAAAAGTTGTAATATTCCTACAAAATTACGTGTTTTCTTTATACGATAGAATGAAAGTTTGTCGATCCGTACCTGCTTCAACCACAGCCAGTAATATTCCTCCAAAATTACATGTCTTGGTTTATAGGGCATGAAAGAAAGGCATTCAAAATAATAATACTTGTTGTGATGACAAAACACCATTTCCTTCTTCATAAGTCAGTATTTTAAAATTACATTGATAGTTAAATCACTCGTGAAAATGCATAGCGTATGGCGTACATGACTCATAGCACATAGCTTCATAGTAAGCACTGCCTTATATGTTAAGCAATTTTCTTACAGCAATCGAAATCACGGGAAAGTGCCACTGTGGATGAGAATTTGTATATGGAGTCTTAAAAGACGTAAAAGATATTGCAGACAAAGTGACTGTCCATTGATTTAGGGTGTTATATACTCTTACGATATGTGACATCTATGACTAGTGTTATGTTCATATTCTATGGCTACGTATACAATTTGAAGGATAATTTTTTTCAACTTTCAACAAGGGTGGCATTTCAACCTACTCTTTTTTAACATAACATAAAGCATTCTTTGAACTTAACATTCACACAAATAACAGAAAAATCTCTCTAAATTAAACTGACTCTGATCTTTGTCCAGATAAATTCTTTTTTAACGCAGTCTTCTTAAACTCGACTTGTCAACTTTTCGTGATTACCCTATTAAATGTGTTTTATATCTAATATAATTTCCTTTAATACGTTTTACTACAAATGGCTATTTAAGCCGATTGTTATTAAATTGTCAATAAAGGGATATAGATATAATGATGCAATTATGAAGTAAATCTTGCCTAAAAGTCTATATAATGGCCACTTATTCCCGAACTTGTCTCTTATCACACAATGTTTTTCAGATGAATATTTTAAATGGTATAATAATGTAGTTAGTTGCCAGTAATTACACAATAGATAGACATAAAACATCTTAAAGATGATATAATCACTGGAGACAACTCTCTTGACTACAGTACATGGTTTCCACTTATAATAAATCTGGCACAAAGCATCTCTGACTACTACCAATCAATGGAATTGGTCAGGAAAGTCAGACAAAATTACAAGCATTATTCCAAAACTGCCAGCAATTTTCGTTATATCAAAGAAAATCCTCACCCAAGGCCAGAAAGTTATTAGGAAAACTGAAGGAGTGTGTGTAAAGCCGTTAGGAATACAGGCTTAGTAATTAAAGCAGGCAGACTCTTTAATACGTTTTAATCAACTAGCAGATGTAGATAGCATATATTTATTATAGACTCAGACAATTTCCTTGAGAACTCAATTTAAACTAAGTATATATTTAAATCGCGTAATCATCCTCACATTTGTCTTGTGGAAAATAAATCTTTAAATAGCCGTGAACAAATACAAGAGAATGTATCAAAAAGATTAGAAAGGCTTATAAAAATGATAAATGAGATTGAATTCTTTAGGGATCTTAGCAGTGTCCATACTTAATTTAGACTTAGTTCTTGGTTGACCCTTTTTTAATAATAAAGAAAAGCTTTTGAGACTGATAGAATCAAATCTACTGGAACTGGGTTTACATTTTGTCAATACGTATACTTTGCTCATATTGAGACTAATATATGGTTATTTTGTTACCTACACTCACATGTGCAATGTTAGGGTGATGAATTGTGCCTGGGCAGGGCCGTTTCTGTCTGCTCTTTGTCTTTTGAAAGTTCTTTTACATGCAAACCAATGTGTACATGAAGAACCAGGCAGCATTGTCAAGTTTTTTAGACTCTTGGAAGAGAACCCATGCTTTGTGTCATATCAATAATAAATCAAGAACTTCTTAACACATTACAAATTATGTCAAATATTAATTCAAGAGGAAATTCTCATACTTTTCAACTCTTATGTGCTATTATTACTTCATATTTATCTTCTACAATTATTGGAAATAATATCCATTATCACTAATTTCTACTACTACCAATAAAGGGGATAAGGTAAGACAGCTCATTTCAATGTGCAATCATGACTTAGGCTGATTCATCCAGAGGTGTATGTATAGCAGGGTGATGAAGCTGGAACAAGGAGAAAACCTTGTCGTTTTTCTCTTTGTCACATCCAGTCATTGTATCCAACTCCAGCTATCACAGACATAAGGATTTGAAGTACTGGTACAACACATTTGGACACCCAAATCACTCAATATGATACACGATTCAGCAAAAGCTAAATATTCATTCATCCATCACAAAATGAATCATTTGAAATTATTGTGTTTCAACAAAACACATCTTGATTACCATTAAATAAGCATGTTGCAGACTAACCCAGGTTGATGCTAACAGTAATTAAAATAAGAATGGCTTCCACCATGAATAATGGTCACTGAAAGCAATAACCACAAAGACTCATTTGGGACCCCAAAATGTAAATTCTCAACTCCATAGAGCTTTAATGAGTTTAACATGAAAAACACTTCAAGTCAATGAAAGATGAAAAAAGAAGAAAGAAATTAAAGAAATGTGTCATTAAAGCAAGCGGACATGTTTAATCATTAACATCAGGGTTTGTTCAATAAAAATTTATTTCGAGACAGAGAGAGCATGACTTCTTGATCAAATTCAAAATACTGAAAAGATTGAAAACCTGTCAGACTTCAAAAAAGAACATTAGCAGACGTCTTTGAAGGGGACAGAGATTCCATTGATTTAATTACATGCTTTTTTTTTTGCATGGGCTGCACATTAGCAGACATGGAAGGGAAACAGTCTCTTATATATCACTGAAAACATGTCACATGCCATTTTAAATCTGTTGTTATCAAGAGATGACAATAATCAAATTAACATGGGACTATGGCGCAGAGAAATCGAGATATCATGTGGTTTTCTTGCGATGCTCTAAAACTTTAAGATTGATTGGAAAAGATGGTAGAGATGGCATCTGATAGTCTTTTTTTTGTTATTTAGTTTAAACTTAATATTGTTCGATGTCAATACTGGGCTATCAATGATATCAATGTCATTATTTGAACAGCTGGGGTACTCGTCAACATCTCCTCCAGTTCTCTGTTTTAATCTCATTCACCAGACACCTTTCTTTATCAGAAGCAACATATGCCATCAGAACTTGTGACTTATATCCTGCTACATATCTTTATTTCAAAAAGTTTATTTTTATAGATATCTATAAAGGCTTTTATTTGTAACTGATCTTTCAAAATCTTTATCTTTTATGATATTTAAGGGATTTTTTTCCAACTGCATCGATGTAACTGATTACTCGTTAAAACAATTTTTAAGTCCGAGCACTGACATATTTCACAAACTACTGTTTTTATATATAGAATAGGGATATGATATGAAGAGTTATACAGGAAAAAGTTTGTTCATTTCTTTAAAGGAACAACAAGCCAGACTGACCGTTCACATATATTGAAAAAAATCAAACATATGTATCATTTTAATTTAAAGACCTTTGTTATTAAATAATTAAGCACATTCTAGTATAAAAATCCCACTTTCATGAAGAAAAAGCTGGTTTGTATGAAAAATAACAAGCCACCAGTAAGTCTGATGTCCCCCGCCGAAATCCCATAATAAATAGATGACACATATCGATTAATTGCATATTTATCTTTTTCAAAAGTATTGAGCAATAAAACTGATTATTTATACTTAGTCTGAGCATAAAATGTTCATGATTAAACTCAGCCAAAAATGTTTTTAAACAAAAGTACTTTATTCAGGCATGTTCAAGCTTTTGGGAATAATGAAGTAAATGTTCTGATTTCTACAATTAACCACAGAATACTGAAGTAAATATTATATTCAAATATTCTAAAACCTGTACATTCACAATGTGGAAAATGCTCTTAGATCAAAAGATTCAAATATAAACATCCAATGTGTCTTAAAAAGAAAAGGATAACTGTTAACAGAAAGTATGAATCAACTTACCCGTTTGGCAAACGTTGTCAATAAAACCAGTAGCTCTACAATCACATACAAATCTATTCCATCCCTCAACACAAATACCTTGATGCATACATGGATAACTTAAACATTGGGGTTCCATACGGCGGCAATATTCTGCAATACCTTCTGCTAACTGTAGCGTTGCTGCTGCTACAAGATCCACTTTATTACCATTAATAACTAGATCTTGGAAACAACCTACATAACCATGTCCCAACATCCCGGACCACATTTCTTTTGGTAAGGTGCTGGCATCAACATGATCATTGATAGCACCCACAAACAGGTAACCGTCCAGCTGCAGCAGATCACCCTTTTCCTTGGAAGTGTACGGTTCCTTTTGACCATCCAGCGTAATGTAACCTTGTGGTCCTTGGTAATCTAAATAAACCTCATGGGGTTCGCCATCATTGACCGGCTGCTTGCTGGCTTTTACTTTCATGGTACCTGATCCTAAATTGATAACCAAATACAGATGACCATCTAAAAGTTCTATCGCGAAAAAGTCACTTTTAGCCAGCTGACCAGAGTTATACAAGATGACGCCATTCGGTTCGGTTGTTTGAAACTGGAAGGCAATGGAAGCACGTTTAAGTGAAACATCCCACGTAGGGAGGGTGATGTAAGATGTAGGTGTTAAAAATGTGATTGGATGCGATTCTACGAGTTCTTGGCAACGATTAAATAAAACTTCCCCGACAACACTGATTAATCCATGACTTTTTTTGGCAAGATCTGTTAAATCAAGTTGTACATTATCCGCTTGGTATCTCACCTGCAATATAACATTACCATATTATCAAATTGTATTCTACAATAAGACTGTCACATAACCTAAAATCAGATAAGTAAAAGAAAAACAGTATTCGAGTGTTCTGAAAATGGTATTTTTGGAAGACTAAGAGTTGTCCTTTACTAGACCCTGTTTATTCCTCCTCTAGTTTTTGTTGTATTCATTCAGATCTTGCCTCACAATGAAATATAACTTTCTCTTCAACATATCTCTAAAAGCAGACAGAAACAATTCATTCTGGTACGAAAGATAATGTCTTTTTAAAAGTGTGACCAAGAACGTTAATTTTATGCCAACTTTTGATAAAATACAGCAGCCTTACCTTCCGCATACAACCTTTAAAGTTACTTTTAACTCTGGACCCAGGTAGTAAAACTGTATTGGGACTACCAGCTACATATAACACACTACTGGATAACAAAGTAAACTCTCCTGTTGTACTACCAGACTTACGATAAACACCATCTACTTCCATAGATATCTGATAATATAGCAACATGTCTATAAAAACATGCATTCAACTTCTGGAGAATACTTCAATCCTGTTTATTAATATTCTCATTTAAAGTGAACTGAGTGGCTACAAATTTCACAGATCTTTTACCAAAGTGACTTTATCTGGCTTTTTTGGCAGTGAATATTATCTATATGTACTATGCTGTAGGGCTGTGAATCTATTTAGTGACTTGGGTGTTAGCAACATAAATTTTCGTTTAATTAATGACTTGTTTAGATAATCCATGTTAAAACTTTATATCATGCCCTAATATTAAAAAGTCTTTACAAAATTAATTTGGATGTCTTTTATTTTTACTGGACTGGGAGTATCAAAATAACCGAGAAAAAAAAGACAACATGCATCTACAAATCAAACACAAAAGAGTGCCAAGAAACAAAAAGAAATGTTATCTAATTATATGTCAATAACAATGTATTCCAAAAATTAAAAAAATCCATGTCTGGTTTAAATCTTTCAAACCTATAGTATAAGTCCTGGAGTCCATTCTAAATAAGTTACGATTATATAAATTTAGTTGTGAATTTGTACATGTAGCTTCATACGACTTATGTTAGTCTCCCATTCAAATTGTTTTCATTAGCCAAGTTGGTGCAGAAAAGTAGGACTTTAAACCCATTTCATTTCATTTCTGTTATTCAAAACCAAGAAATGTATTTAACTCTATTAGCTCATAAACTTCAAATGTTCTTGACCCATTTTATCATTACAACATTAATTGTAACTTTGTCCCAAAATCTAATGCTCAATTCCAATATATGACATTCAATCATTGATTAATGTCCTTAAAATTACACAGGCCTTTACCTAGGAAAACATTTCAGAATTAAGTTCAAAGGGTTATAACCACTCTTAACAATATTAAATTTTAAAGTTCAACCTATTAAATCAAACTAAAATTTAATACCTCAAAAACAAAATATAATTTCTTTATCTCCATTAAATTACTTCACATGTCAAATGCAAGAATGTTAGATTGAAGATTTATATTGAATTAAACAAAAAATCCAGTCCTATTTCTTACAAAAATATTTTAATCATGCAAGATATGAAAAAAGTAAATGGGAAATAAGAAATAAACAACAGGTTTTATCATTCCTATCAAATTGTTACGCAAAGAAAGAAAAAAATAAAGTAAACCAGCATTTTGTTTACAAGATTGAAAGAAAGATCTAAAAAAAAATTAAAATCTTGTATAAGTCTTAATTGGTTTCTCTTAAAATGAAGATGCTCTAGCAATGCAATTGATTTGATATGTTATTTATGGTTATGTCCATGCTAAAAAATTTCTTTGAATATCACAAACCTACAAAAAATTAATATTTCTCTTTTTTCAAAAACAATGACCTTATATGAAAAGATGTTGATGAAAATCATTTTTATACAAGTATCATTGATTTTATCGGCTAGATTATCAACAAGGTTTAAAAAAAAAAGTCATGAAGACGATCCATAAACTGTTATTTGCAGATATCTGCAATAGTTATAATAATGGTAAACTTAAAGGAGAGTAAAAGCATGCCAGAAATTCAGTATTTAAATGCCCAATGAATGATTCCAAATTGACTTAAGTGCAAATACTCTAACTGGTATCATTATGTTACAAAATATCTTATTATTCAGAATTGTGCTCTTTTGATATTATTATTACTTCTGGTGTTAATTGTTACATGGCTCTATGTTACCAATTCCTGTGCACTTATTCGAATGACGATTTTGCATTGCATCGATCCACAGGTATTGATAATATTTATCATCAATAACTGACTTTAATATTAAAAGTACACATGAATGTATACATAAAAATAAGTCAATGCAATTAAGCACAAAAAATTATTCAATGCAAATTCAATAGGTTTCTAGAGGACATAATTAAATATGAAATTTAAAACTACCAATATGCATCTTTAACAGCATGCTTAAAGGTTTAATGGGTCAATTCTTAATTAAGGGTCTTTAAATTCTTTTCAAACTGAAAATCTACTGGAAGGTAATAAGGGAATATATTCAAATAAACAGGCTGGTATTGTTAAGGGTTTATTTTAATAATATGTCTCCGCTGGACATGTTTTAATTCTTTAATTAATAGAAAAGGACATCTACATGTTACATGTACATTCATACGGTTATATATATATATTTGGGTTGAACATGTACAAATCATTTCTGTTCTAGTCTTAAACTAATACTAGTTAAAGCTGAGATTAGGTTAATTCAAAATTTTGTGTGAAGCAAAATGGATTTTGTAATAAACTGGGGCCTTATTTAAGGAAACTTAAACTAAAATCTTTTGGATAGGAGTCAACATAGGCCCAGCCTGTTCTCCAATCCATTTTCAAATGAAATAAAATATTGTTTACAAAAAAAAAAAATAAGGCCCCTGACTTTCAATGTTCAGCTCAGAATGACGTTCCATTTTGACTTTTGGTAAGATTAGAGCAATGACCTGTTTCTGTATCTATGTCAAACATGTTGCCATGTTGACTCAGCTACCTCCTTGTATTGATCACATTATCTTTATGTTTTCAAGTTTTGAAAAGTACTTTACTACATAATTCACACCGTGACTGTTATAGACTGTTTGCCTACAAAAATATGTTGTGACATCTTGCCTGCAGGTATAAATTTATTCAGCCCCTTGCAGCTAACAAGACTGCATATGCATGCACACATCACTGGTTGCATCTAATCAAAAGCCTCTGTTTTTAGATACAAGAAGTCGCTTTATTGCAAAACTGCTGTGATGCAGTCATGGGTGATTACGTTATTGTATCTTTCACATTTGAAATTTGTGAAAATGTGATCATACATATGCAAAAACTGCAATTTAAAGAAAGGCCACCTGAATTCATTCAGTAAATTTTCAATTTCAACTCAGTCTTGTAATCAATAAATTGAAACTGTTTAAAGACTAGAACAGGATGATGTATAACAAAAATCTAGTTCAGGAAAACGACAAATTCTGTGGGTTTATTTACATCGGAAGCAGAAAGGGTGTCTGACATTTTACGGACATTAGAGATGTTGACTAAAACATCAAGAAGGCTTATAGAAGCAGTACAATGGAATGTTGACATAAAATATGATTTTAGAACAGATTGACTGAAGTACATAGCAGACGGCTCGCCATAAAATAAAGGATTACAGTACATCACATGTAGATATATAATTCAATCTTAGACATAAATATTCTTATTATTATGTTCCAAGACTGAACAACCCAATTTGACCTGGGGTCTCAAATTAACAAAACATAGTATGTGATCATCCCATTTGTTTTCAAATCCCATTACAATGCCACAGATTGCTGTAATGGTTGGCCTTGGATATTTTTGAAAATATAATTTGGAAACAAGATGATGAAGGTGTTCCGAGCTAGGATATCGTTAAAAAAATTAGATAACAGACATTCAGGACATCGCATCAACTCATAAAGGGACACGGTAACATAACAAAGGTTCCTACATTTAGAATCCTTATAACATTAACAAACAGCTATAGATATGGTACGGTACCTTTATATCAAAGTATATAGGGGGATATGATATTGATAACCAATGCACATAATTTCATTTAAAAACGCTACATGTACAAATCTATCAACACATGCCCTCATTACAATACGTGCAGACAATTACTTACAAAGCATACGCCTTTATCCCTAGTAAGCTGTTTTCCACAAAAATTGAAAAATGTAACAATACATATAACTAAATTTAATAATCAAATCTGGTGCAATATGTCTCTAATTGCAAAGTGATGAAAATTTTAAACTACACATCTAGTGACAAATTAATTCTTGTCTAAACTTTGACCTCACTGACTTAAAATCATGAATGGATCACAATTAAGAAACACATAAACTTGATCCAAGACATCAAATTATCTAGATAATATTACATGCAGACAAAAAGATAAGACTAGCAATAATATGAATGATGTCATGGGCCACACAGTGTGGGTTTTTTCCTCAATAAAGATATTTTCCTTTGACTAAAAAAACATTAAAAACCTAATATTCATGTGTTTCAGTGAACACTGAGTCATACTCATGCTGGAAACTGAAATGTGCAAAAGTGAGATTCAGTAAAAATTAATTTTGAATTGTAATTTTATTGAATTGTAATATTGAATATCAAGCTTGAAATTTTTGGACTAGCCCAGCAAACATAATGACTTACCTCCCTTGCTTCCCGTTTGATCAATAGATGATGCCACCTATTATCATCAAAGCGAACATGACCAGGACGGACTTCTGTTTCATAGGAACCAGATCCCAAATTAATGGTTAGAATGATGCCTCCATCTTTCATTGCAACATTTAAATAATCGTTTGAATCACCTAATTGACAAAAAACAACATAATTACAATGTGAGAGTTTTAGCTTTTTACGTTAATTTTTTACATCATGATGAACGAGCACGAAGATAATCTTAATTTACTTGCAGTTTTTGCACATAATGAACAATAAACCTGCATCCAGGGAGTTAAATACTAGAATCCAAACTGAACATCAGTTAGATTTCTATTCACTAATGCTGTAGCATATCTGCAACATAGACTGGACTTTATGTAGTACATGGCTACCCATTTCTTCTTTCTGACTCAATATCGATGCCATGTTTCACAGGTTGTAACAGTAGCATGTTAAAATACAAGCAGAGAAAAAGGAACAAGTCATCAAACATAGGGTTGCATTTCAATGTGGTTACTCTTTATGACCATCTGAGCAATTCCAGCAATTTTAAAAATTAAATATCCTCAAATCTCTGCTCTGTGTAGAGTGCTTACCAGTTTCAGGGGCAATAACTCCTCATAAAACTGATGCATGATTCAGAATTTTGACTGACAAGTTCCCTCCTTATGACTACATGTAGCTAATCAATGGCAGCAAAAGTCAACCCTTTTGCAGTTACATGAATGCGATGAGGGGCGATATCTCTAAATTCCAAAAGTCAAATTGTCATGGTAATTTTTTTGTTTAATAAGATTCTCATAGTATTCAGTCACTACAAATACTGTCTCCTGGTATGTAACAAAAATATCATAAGTATGACAATACCGTTCACAGAAATCTCTTTTATAATTATATGTTTATGAATTTTTGACGATTTTTCATTTTTAATTGAAAATGTCATGCAACGAATTCGTTTTCCATTATAAAACCAGGAATCTCCAATTTCAATTAAACTCAGTAAGGAATCCCCTTAGATTAAAAGAGAATAATTGATCGAGAAATGGTTAGTTCTGGTATTCTCTTTGTGTTTTGTGTATAAAACTAACAAGACTATCCATGTAAGTTTTTAACACATATCCTTGCCAGGTCGGAAATGAATTAAAGACACAATATTTGTATTTTATAAGCTAAACAGAATAAAACTCACCAGTAAAAAATAAAAGGCCATTGGACTGTTTGGTTCTAAAATCTAAAGTGAGTTGATCATTATTACTGATAATAGGATCACCTCTACTTGATAAATCATAACTAAAATACTGAGCTCCTAAAAACGTGGCATCTGATGGAATTTTTTCTGAAAAATATTAAAATAATTTATAAATATAGCAAATCATAAACTTTTTTTTAAATTGATGAAATTTAGAAGGAAACTGTTGTAAACCATTAACATCTGTAAAACCCCAACTGTATGTTCTGTTTTCACTTTGGCAGTGTGTTAATGTCAAATCTTTAAATAAGTCACCTTATCCCCATACGGTATTCAGTTTAACCAATTTTAACTGGGCACAAGTTGGAGAGTTCAACACAAAACTAAAGCTCCTGATCGTCATTTGATGGTTTCTAAATCCCTTCCAAACCACAATATTGTGGACGTCTTTAAAGGAATATCAGTCCAAAAATTTCATAAAATTTGGCATCCTCTGCAAACGATATAAAAGAAGGTAGCACCAAGTATATGTATAAGTATTGGGTAAAACCTTTCATGGGCTTCATTTTAATCTGAATAAATCAGTTTTGCTGTTTCCAATTGGCAAAAATGACCCCCAGTCAAAGCTTGCTTCAGAATTGTCAATGGAAACCTTCTGAATTGGCTTTTTCCCCATGTATCATTTCTTACTAAATATTTAGTCTTGGTTACCCCGACTTATGGTTGGATCTAATCATTTTTGAATAGAGTATATCTCATGTTCTTGAAAGAGTAAGTATACTACGAATTTCCCTGTCACTTGTAGATAAATGAAGCAATAGATCAGACATGGGCAGAAGGCTAATTTACTCAAATGGACATTAAATTCAAAGAATTTCCCTTATAAGTAGACCATCAAAATCTGTACCAAATACTGTTCAAAGGTTGGTTATAAATGTACATGTTATGGTAACTTCAAGACACTTTGTACAAACTACTTTCTTATAAAGACTGTCAAAGATTAAAGAAATATATTGCTTATCCCAGGAGAAACATTATGCTGCTTTAGCGTCTACATATCTGAACCTGGAACTGCTATGTCCATTAATAAACTTATTGTGGCCATCTATTATGCATAAATTTCTGACATGGTGGATAAAGGGTCACAGTTGTCTAGAAAGACGTCTGCAAATGGCTGGACTGATTTTGATAACACCTCTTTAATGACGGTTCATCCATACATCTTAACTGTACAATAGGAATCCTAATATCTATACAATGATGGCTAGACCTGATAAATTTTCACATTAAATTGGTTCAATATTGATAGTGAAGACTAGCTTACATTAACCTGGTTAATCTCACCAGCCTACATCATTTGAATATGATTATTTAATTAAGCTGAAAATCTCCATGTGAAAAACTGATAAAATATGTGTTAATACAGACAATAATCGATATGTCAAGAACAAAGTTTTGCAAACTGGACATTTCCATCCTGCATCTACCTGAATTTCAACAGTGGTAATCCTTAGGCCCAAATGAACAACCCTTCCAAGTTTGTCATGCACAGTGTTCAGAAGCTTTGAAAGTCAATTTATAATTAACTAAGCACATAATTCCGTAATGTAAATTGTTAAGGTTCTTCTTTAAATATAGCCTATCAAACAATTCATCTGCATCGCATACAGAAGACTCATAAATTTGAATGTAAATGGGGGATAAGAAAAGAAAATTCTGTCTTAACAACTTTCAGAAATGGTATATTAGTCTTGTGCAACTAAATGAGGCCCAATTATACTTTTTTAAAGAAATTTAAACTTTCAGAAAAATGTGAACGAATTACGGAAGAAACACGATCTTTGAACATATTATACTCAACACATATTCAAATGGCTAGAATTCAATACTCAGGCCACATTAGTTACAAATTAAAGAAAACTTCAAGTACTACAAAGTAATAAGACAGTGCTTTATGAGTCAAAACCAAATCTAATGACTAATAACACTTTGTCTATGTTCAAAAGGAGCATGGAATCTGCTCTGTCATAAAAGCAAATTCTATCACTCACAACTTGATGAATAAATGGAGCGCTGTGATAAATGCTGACCTCCAGTGATTGAACTGTGTCCAATATTGGAATAACGATCGCTGTTACCCCGAATTTGGTGGAATATTAATGAATGTTCAAAGCCATAAACGTATTAGCAGCTGCTTTGAAATGAAGAAAGTTATTCAAGCATGGTTAATATCCAGTTGAATTTGTTTTAAAGAAATATTACGCGACAGTAGTTCAAAGTTGAAGTGGTTCTAAATGACAACTGCACATTAATTGATGAGCAGAACTTGCTCTTTGTTGTTTTCAAGGATTCTTACACATTCTTTACTACAAAATACTGATGCAATGACCATAGCAAATTTCCCACGCTTTCAAAAGCAATTGAGTTGTCGGTTTGTTATTAATACTGCAGTCGCTATTGATTATTGATTCATCACTTCAGCCATATTGGCAGTATGTTCAGTACTTTGATAAGCTCGTAGTAAGACCATTGCATACAGGGCACGTTTTGCCAGCAGTCTACTCATCATTATTTCTGTTCCAAATGATAATAATACATTGATTACAAGATTGAAAATTGATGGCAGATGTAATTAAGGTCACAAGATTGATCACTTTATGATACCATTAGAGTTATTTTTAATTACTATTATTTTATTTGTATAGACCTCAAGTTATTTTAAAATAGGTTGCCGCTTATTCTCCTGATATTAAAATAGTTTTTAAAAATGCACAACCCGAAATACAAATGTACATTATTTTGATTAGCCATTATGATACAGGCTGTGGTCAGGATGGGTAACTATTATAACCCGTTCAGACGCTTATTTTTAAACCAGTTCATAATCGCTGGTATTTTTAAGACAGCATCGTGTTGCATTCACACGTACAATAAGCCAAACCAGTTAAACCATTCTGACCTTTTCGGTCGGAGGTTAGAGTTAACTACGCATGGGTAGCTTCATATTCTTTATTCAGTTATCGCACGCTTTCGATAACATTGGCACTGTCTGACCCCGATATTTTCACAGGAATGTGACTTACTGCATACTGCGCATGCTCAAAGCAAGCTGGAGCCGGGGTTTTTAAGCCAACTCGTTCAGACGGCCAAGATGAACCAGTTTAAAATAAAAAGCCTTCTCGAAGTTATATCGCGAGCTGGGTTTTTTGAACTGGTTTATTTGCCCCACATTTGCGTTCAGACGCTTAAGTTAAACTGGTTTAACGATCCCCAGGGTTTTTAAACCAGTTCAACTTAAGCGTCTGAAAGGGCTAATAGACACTATTAATAAACAACTGCCTGTGCTATTTAATCCAACAAAGTTTCCTATTGTGTATTCACAGAGCAAGAGCACATGGTTTTGTTGAAAAATTATAATGATTGACAATCACTCTGATAGTGTCACATCCGATCCAATGTCTTAATTTGCTAATTAAAGTTGAAATGATTGTAACTTTGAAACTATTGGTAAAGGCTGCAGTTCTCCTTTCAGGTAATTTTGATGCTATAAATCCCTGTACTTGCATGGAATTATTGTTGGTGGGTCGGTTGGTTCAGATAAAATTAATGACTTTGGTCAATAATTAGAATGGGCAATGACAGATTCTTTAAGTAGGTGGTCACTGAAGTACACACATATCAGGCTAATTATAGTAGCACTTCTTCCATATTGGTTCATGTATATATAATTAAAACTGAGGAATTGCTATCAATCGATATACTAGACACTTGATTGACCAGTAGTAAAAATAGAAATTTTTTGGTTTAAAGAATAGAAAGAGGTTGTATTCAACATATTAAAGATAAAAAAAATTATAAGCCTAAAAAAGAATGAACTAAAGAAGAATGAAAAATATGAGAGGTTTTTCTTTTGGCATTTGATAAACAATAAGTGATTATTGTTACTAGGTTCTAGTAAAAGATGAAAAATAAACATGATTTTTATTCTAAAAATAATAAATAGAAGAAGGATGAACATTCTGATGGAATTTTTTTTTCTTATTTTTAATAATCCACAGACTTGAACCAAAATAGACATTTTTATTAGGTTTTATTAAAGAATGAAAAATCTCCTTTGATACCTTTTTTCAAAAATTTATTTATCTTAATATCTGGAAGTAGTGCTTCAGATAATGAAATATTTGTCCAATTCAAATATCTAATAAATAATTTTTTGGGGGGATATGAATGTATAGAAATCTCTCAAAACTCAAAATTGATTAAAATGCTAGTGAATCTAGACAAAAATATTTCCACTCCATGACTTTCTCAGACAGAGATTGTACCCGTTGTCATAAATGTCCAGTGATTTCTTCAAATAAAATCAATCTGTTATATAATAAAATTAATAGTTTTAACTACTCCAAGAATCATAAGCAAATATAACATAAGAACTGCCGTCTGGTTTGTCTAGGCCATCTGCCCAAGGGAAATATAAAGTACTGGATTGGGGAAAGCTAGCTTTCAGCTAGGCACTAAAAACAATTTAAAAAGAAAATGGACATGAGTGCTTCAAAAGCTAGGTATCAAAAGTAAATGATCAATCTGTCTAAGATTTAATACAGCCAAGGCATACTGAAAATTAACAGTCAAAATTTATTGCATGGGGTCAGACAGGTATCAATTAGCCAGAAAGCTGCATACTCTAGGGATGTAAAATTACTGAACTATGTTGACAGTTTACTTAATCTTAGATTCCTTATTCATAAGACCATTTCTTAAATTCCATTGCATCATATTGTAAAGGAAATTAAATGAAATTGCAGTTAACGTCTTACTTCTCTGCACCATTTAGGCTAATGAAGACAGACAGTTTTCTATGATTTGAAATTTTCCCAGAAAAGGGTAAACCAGTTTGGAAAATCCTGAGGAACTTTTTCATCCAACACTGGAATGGAACCTAGGACCTCCTGGTCAGTGAGCCAGTGCCATACTCACTGAGCCACCACGTGACCCTAACTGTAAAGCCAAGGATACATAGGACCAATTAGAACAAGGGAAAACAAAACTGAATCCCACTGCAAAAGGAGGGGGGGATTCCGTCCTATAATTGTCAATGATAGAGAATACCAACACTGTTGGAAGCTTTTTGCTATTATTTTAATTTA